GGGGGGGGGGGGGGGGGGGAAGGATACGAAAAACACGGACGCCACTTCCAAAGCCTCGGCGACTTCCGCTGCAAAACTTTGAGAGAGGTTTGCTTGCGCGGGTGGAGGCACGTAAGCTCCGCCATCAGAGCCTTGGCAGACGCACTTTGCGAACACCTTGAGCGGGTGCCAACAACCATCCGCCGGGGAAAATAGTAAAAAACACAACAACTCGGAATTCAGCCCGATGAAAGGTGCACGCGCGCTTCTCCCCGCCTCCCTCAATCGAATAAAAATGGAAACCACCAACGCCAAACTCTGATCTACTCGAAAGTCAACGAGTACGCTGGTATCGATTTCGGCTTTTGTCTACAGCATGTCCGATGAACACCTCAAGAGTGTATGGTATACTTCGCACTATCACCGCGGGCCACCCTAGGTCAAACAAAAAAAATGACCTAGAAACACATGATAAACAGCCAGAACACAACCAGGAACAAACACGCCTCTATAAATCAAATTTGACCGGACGACCAACATAGTATCACGGGGAGGCAAACTGCAAATAGAAGATTTTACGCTCTTTGGTGCATTCTTCACACTCCACCGATATCGACCCGCTGCTCCTGCGCGCATTTCAAAGCAGCTCTACGATTGGACATTCCGGCAATACCCTGTACCCGTCAAGTGCACGGTCAATCGTAGAAATAGACGCTGCAACTATAGCCCCAACAACGAACTCCAAAAACCAATTCTGACAAACACCTAGGAGTCCTTCAACGATGACGTCATCAGTCAACATCAACTCTTGGCCTCGGCCTTAGCCTGCGTCGACTTCAGCCGTTTCGACTTGGGCTTCTCGAGTGATGACGTCCCACAAGCCCCACGAGCAGAACCGCTACCCGAGCCCTGTTGAACCGGAGGGAGAATTCGAAGATCTCGAGTGTCACATGTGTTGAAAAGCATCATCCGAGATACCGAGTGTTGACCAGAAGTGAGTTAATCCATGCACGCCGCACGGCACACTAACGGAAAAAATGTCGCGTTGGGGAAGTGCATTCACTTCCTTTCACGACGGAATGGAGGCAACTTAGGGATGGAGTTGAACGTCCTCTGTATCATTGGCAGTAAAACTGCCTACGTCGGCAACCTCTCGCGGACACGGACAAAGACAGTATTCCATCCATCGCTTCCGGGCGGGAATCGAGAGCATGATTACGCGATATGTCGGTACGCCTAGGTTGTGTGGGCGTACATGTAGGCCGGCGGTGGGGTGGACGGGGGGGGAGGAACGGGGAAGGCGGGATACATCGACTTTTCAAACGTTCATGTGACCACGAGGGGGTTCAGCCTCCCGTGTGTCAGTGAACGCCACTGCCAGCGGCAGATGAGATTGCTCCCAGTCGACGACCTCTGCTTTCTTGCTCTACGTGGACCTTGTCAACATAGCGAGGGCACCGCAGCAGAGACAGCGCTCCCCCTTTCTTATTTCTCATCACGCTTCCCAAGCGCGTGCGACAAACTGAGAGGGCAACAACCGACCACAAGCGTATTTGATGTCCATGTATCACACAAGACAATCCTAGGGAAACACTGATCACCTTGTTTTTGGGTTTTGAGGACGGTTTAGAGTGCCCCGCTGGACGCTCGCTGGCAGCAAGAGTTGAATCACCACTCGAACTCCCATTAGGAGCGTGTCCGTTGGGGTTGCCGTTCGTGGTGTTGCTCGAGTCTCCGCTGTAGATCCACATGGGCACCGTGAATCCGGCGGCACCCTGCAACCGCAAAACAACGAACAAAAATGGGAAACTAGGCACAAAAAGGGATAGACACGGTTCGGACTGTGCGTGAACTATCAGCGCCGTCTCGTTTCTGCAGACACAGGGAGAGCCGCCTACTGCCGCCACTCCTACCGCAAAAAAAAGGACCATATACGAGGGAGAAAGCAGGATACCAGGGAAGTGGCCAAAAGCGACCACGTGCACAGGACGCAGCAACAGCCGGGCCTCGCGTTTCGTCTCACAGCAAAGATTTTCGCCCCGTGAACGTCCGAATGTGGACTCTTCACTTTCCCCTCACCTCTGGAGGCGGAATGTCTCCGGACTCGACCAGGCTGAGGAAGTCCTCCACCGAGGTGTTCCTCGGCATGAAGGGCGAAGGTGTGGCGGCTGAGGATGGCGATGGCGATGATGATGACGTCATGGTGCTAGTGCCGCTGCCGCCGCTAGAATTGCCTCCTCCTGCACGGTAGGGAGGTTGAGGGTTGACACGCGAAACGTGGAGAGGCACCAACCACATCGCTGACGAATGGCGATAGAAATTGGGGCACTTGATGGCAAGATATTGCAGCCGCTGGCGTTGCCGAACAGACGCATGGGCTGGAAAGCACTTTCTCGTGCACCGCGACATGGCGTGGCGCCCTGTCCATCTTGATGACGCCGGTCCGTATCGAAGTAGACAACGTCGTGAAGCTTGACAGCAACCACGAACGAGGGAGGGACCGAAAGCAACCCTACAAGTCTTCTTATCACCGTCCTTCGCACCACCACCGCAACCACCACCACCTCCTCCTTTTCTCCTTCCTCCCCTTCCGTGCAACGGCCAACTGTTGGCACCACGGCATGAACGAAAATGATTTGACAGCATGGTACTATACAGCAGCGGTTGCGGGATTCAACTCACATGCTCTGGTCTAGCACAGAATTTGGGAGCTGCCGCTTTCCGCAAGGCTCACACTCTGGTGCTGCCAGCCACACGCCTTCGCGCGACAACTTCATACCACAAGCTCAAGAAACTGGCAGCAGCAACAATCGCAAGGGCACGCCCCTCCAGCCGGCCAAGGCCAAGTGCTGGAAAACGACGTCGCCAACCTACCTAGTCCAGATGCGATGTTGCTGCTGCTGCTCGCGATGTTGCTGCTGACACTGCCTGCTCCGTTGCAGTTTGTCATCGGAGACAGGGGAGCCCCTTCATCGAGGCTCTGGGTGAAGGGTGGGTTCGGGGAAGCGGGCCAACGGAAAAAGAAGAATAGGAGACATGAAAATCCCAGCAGCGGGAAAGTGGCGAACCCAAGCGTGACCCGGTTGTGTAAGGGTCGCGGCATGTCCGAGCAAACGAAAGGGGGAAGACGAGGGTGGGTGGGGGGAATATGTTCACGGCAAGTTCTACGTTCACTACTCGTTCCTTGTCAAGGCATCGCGGTGTGTGTGTGTCGAAAACTCCAGCTGCAACATGTAGTACAACGCACGCAACAAAAGATGTAGCGTGAAGGACATGCAATTGATTCCGCTCGCTGCTACACTTCATCCACGTGCCTTGGCACTCCGAGCAGGCGTCCGTCAGGGTGTACGTGCATCTGCTGTGCCCCAAGCTGCAAACTTAGGCTTGCTTTCAAGGAGCAAGCTGCTACATGTCTACCCACAAAGGGTATACTACTACAGGTGAATGTCTTCTTGATCGACACACGACTGAGGGTGTTGCGACTATCGTCCAGCACGGTGGTGAGTGTGCTCGTTCCTTCACTTTCGTGGCGACTTCGAGCAACGTTTGCGTAGGGTACATGCCCATTTCCACCGAGGCCTACATTATCTCGGCACATCTTCACAAGCTGGTCCAACGTTCATGCTGCTTTTTTTCCTACTTTGTTTGCGATCTTCCATGGTTGTGTTTCCCTTCGGTACGCACACAACACATCCTCCACTACTGGTGACTGTTCACAACAATGTCGTGCATGACGAAAGTTTTAACGGGCATGCGGGAACATATTTTTGAGCACCAGCTCACCTCGGCCCCCAGCAGGCGTTCCCACGACGGACAACAAGGAGGCTGCTGCTCGCTACAGTTTCGTCGGCTTTACCGACGCTGCTCGCACCGTAGTACTCTTTCTCGCAGGAATATACCCGGCACAAACCACACAACAGGAATCCTACACGCAAATTTCCAATTTCACATCCACGTCCGGGCACTCAAGACGGAATCCGATCGCGCGAGACATCGAGGCCATGACCCCCCTTCACTTTCGTATAGAGACGACTTGTACACCACCACATTTAGCCCGTCTACAGCAGTCATGACGGACGCAAGAATCACTGCACAACTGAATCCATAGGTCGTACCATCGTGAAATACAGCCGTTGCCCATATACACCGCCGCACAACCGAGTTGGTTTCTTTCACACGCGCATATCATTCGTCAAAAGGTCGCCGCATTGATCGCTCGCTCGCGCGCGCGCGCGCTTGCCCGTGAGTCACCTGCAGGTGTTCGTACGAGCTGATCCTCGCCCATGAAGGCGTTCTCTTCAAACCGCCGTTCATCGCCTGGCCAACCGAATCAACCCCACCCGCGTTGCGAGTCCCCACAAAAACATTTTTTTTTTTAATACAAGGCATCGATCACGCAGAGCCCTCACAGCCGCCGAATTCCTATGGGACAGGCCGTTTTTCGTCAACAACTCCGGCTGTAGTGGCGATCCAAAAAGTGGCCAACCTTCTAAAGCAACCTTTAACATGTCTCTACAGCGTGGTGCCGAAAAACAATGGACAGGATCGCTTCTTGAGCGCGGATAGAGTGTTGAAGGTCAAATCGCGGGGGAACTTGCCGAAGATTTCCAACAAGACTGGAGGTAAACGCGTCGGGCGTGTTTGGTCGACAAATAGGCCATAGAGTACTTCACTGGAACGACCCTCGTAGTGGCGATCCCAAATATGGCCAACCTCTCGATGCTACCTATGCCTATGTAGTGCACTCTGGCGAAGTCTCGAGCGAAATCGTCAACTCCTTTGCCCGCGGGTAGCAGCGTGAAGTTTGGCGCTGAGAGCTGCGAACGGGCTTGAAGCAGCAGCTCTTTCACTTTTGATAGCACGGCATGTGCCAGGATCAGAGCGACACCAGGCCAA